GGTCAAGAAAGTCTGAAGCGCTCGTATCTGACAGGTAGGCCACAGGTTTCCACAGACAGACACTGGGAAACCACACTAAGGAATCTCATGTAAAACCTGGCCTCTTAAAGAAGCCTTTGCTTCCAGCTCCCCCCCGCCCCCCCCCCCCCCCCAAAAAAAAAAACTGGCCACAGTCCCCATCCCACCCAACCATGATCTCCATCCCACACTGGCCATGGTCCCTGTCCTACCTGGACACCAGCCCACATCCACCCCAGAGATTCAGCAGCTGCAAGCCATGGAATTTTAAACTCGGACACCTTCGCTCTCACCAGCTGTGTATGTATCTGTGCCCTTCAGCACCGTATACGCACACAAGAGAGCGCACGATAAATAGCTTCCAACCAGGCACTCCTAAAAACTAACAAACAGTTTCTAAGGAAGAGGTTAAGAAAATAACATGCACGTTCTGATGAGCGATAAGGAGCTCGCTTACTTACTCACATTGTCATTCATGCACGTATGTATGCTCTGGATGTCTTCAGGTCGGATTGTCATCGTTATAGACGCCACGGATGTGACTCCGCCTCACTTCTCATGTTGCGGCGCAGGGGTTGTACTGGTGAGTAGATTGAGCCCTTGGTGGCGCTTTATGGCATCGAGTATGAATTGACGCTTTCTTCGGTGAAGTCACCGATCGATGGAGTTGCAGCTCTACTGGAGTACTTTGAGGGCACGGTCTGCGCCGAGGCCCCAGGACGCAGTTTCTGCTCCAGACTCCTACAGACTCCGCCTTTGCGGAGTAGCGCTGCCTCTTCTTCTCTTCAGCTGGCCCTGAAGTCTACCTGAAAGAGCTGCTGCGTAAGTAACTCCAGTAGGCTCAGCAACCTCTCACCTGCCTTCCAAGTTCTGGCGCTTTTGTCAGCCCCCTTGGAACATTGTATAAAATAATAACAATCAGTTCACTGCCTTTAGAAGTAGTTTTCACCATTGCCTAGAAACCACAGCTTAGAGTACACGCTCATCCCACAGGCCCTCAGCCACCCACCCTCTCTCCCCAGAGCTGCTGGCTGGCCGGCCAGAAGTTCCAGCCTCAGGAGAGAGGGCAGAGGGGATTCCTCCTCTCCCCTCGCGCCACCAGCAACCGAGGGGCCCGAGGCTTTCCCGGGACAGGCCGCTAACCAGAAAGCCCCCCGGAACACAGCCAGGTACCCCTCTGGGACGGTTTGTCAAGCACCCTCCTCTACCTTCAACACGCCCCCTCGCTGCGCTCCTGCTACCCGCTCAGCTACGAGGAGAGGGGGCTGCACCCACCGGCAGGAACTAGCTGCGTCCGGCCGAACGGGAGGAAAACTGAAGGTTTGAAACCCCAGCGTGAAGCATCCCAATGCTGCCTCGCTCTGTACCTTACTCCTTAAAGCCTGACGACTTCTGCATTAGCCGCTTGAGAAATTTTAATGTAGCCCCCGAGCCGGGGTTTTGGCAGCCTTTTACCGCATTTCTGCACAGCTCTAACTCCAAACTTGGAGGGCAGGATGAGGGAAGAAGGGCAGACAAACACACCGCAGTGCTTCCTGGTCATCATAAATATCTTTATTGTGAAAAATACCATAAAATAATTCCCACAATTCTAGAAAAAACAGTTCTTGCGTTTTAGATTTATGATTTTATATAAAGACACTTTTATAATTTGAAACATTCGATAAATCTCTGGCTAGCTTTACTCATCCTTCTTAAAACATAAAACTGCTACTTTGAGATTTGCTGAGGGCAAAAGAAAAAAGATTATTCTGCCATTTATTTTTTGATTATTGTATGGATAAAAGTGTGTATTACAGAGCAAACAAACAATACCTTACAATAAGGCACTTTTAAATACAGCTAACCTACTATGCTACACTGGCTGGTTTCCAGCAAAGCTCCTACAAATCACAGCCCCAACCAGAAGAGTAAGTCTTAATCCAAACACTGGTCTGAAAACTGAAACGATAACAAGCTTTGTTTTTTTTTTTGTTTTTTTTTTTAAAGTTTAAGCTGACACATTTTCTGCGTATGTCGCAAGTTCGAGCTCTTAAATTTATAATTCACTTTGAATCTGTTTTAATACCGATTTATGAATACATCAGTATTAAGCACGTATCAAGTAAAATACGCTTCCCCCCCCCACTTCATTTTAAAACAAGCTGGAAAGTAGTTTATTAAAACCGAAAGAGAGAATTCAGCAGAGGAAGCCTGCATCTACACGTAGGCCAAGTATTGTAACGATGCTTCATGCGCACCCCGGGGTTTACAAACGAACAAGACGTGTACGTCAGTGTTCAGTTACTGAATGTGATTGCACTGCAGAGCCCACCAATAAATAAAAAGGCGAATTCGGTTTCCTTGTACGTGGCTTGCGCCGCTAACGCTCGCCGCGTTACCAGCGCTTCGTTTTCTGAAGTCACACCAGGAAACGCATCACCGCATCTGGAGAGCCTTGAAACGCAAACGCTGTCTTTTTAACACGACGTTGTCCTTCTGTGTTTTCAGAAGTACGGCAGAGCTAAAAGCCAGCGCCTGCTCCCTCGCCAACAGCACTGGCGCGGTTGCACCTCTGGCCATCGGCAGCCGCTCGGTAGCGGAAAGCCTTATTCTCCACTGTTGTTCTTTGGTTTTGTTCTCAAGACACGGTCTTCCACAGAAGGACTCCACGAACAGCGTTCGCGCATTTGATCATCTTCCTACTTCTAGTGACCACATTCAAGCCTTTTTTTCTTTTCTTAATATGCAATTATTCCCTTTCCCGTTCATTCTCAAAATAAACATAATCCTTTTTGTTCCCGGCTGCTTCCGGCGTACAGCAGAACTGTCCACCGCCTTCGAGAAACAACTACGCACTGCTCTAACATCAGGGCCTTGTACGAATAATTCACGAATATGAGGGACTATCTTACGCCTTCCCTTAAAAATAAATCAACCAGGAAACAATTTTCTCAGCTGTAGCTTTTGAAAGAGAAAAGGGAGAGGGATGAGAGCGGAAAGAGCTGAACGAGGGTAGTCCTTTAAAAGAAGATGTATCGCTTCCAGCAGTTCCCGAGCACACAAACGTGGCTGGCTGTGGCGTTTATTGTGACTTCCTGAAACCGAACACCGCTCCCCTACGTACAAAATACGACATATTGCTGACACCGGTCATTCAGCATTAATTTAAAAACAGCCCCTTCTGTAGCGAACAGGGCGATACAGAAGCGTTGACAGAGAGCAATGGCTGGCACACCAACGCGTACAGCCGGCGAGCCACCCAGCAGCCACCCGGCTGGCAGCAGGTGCGGTTGGGTCTAGCTCACCCCCCAGGGACAGAGGGCCGACGACAGCCGAGAGCGCGGCCCTCGTACCCGAGAGCTACCTACCAGCCTTTTTACTTACCGTGAGCAAAAAGCACACGCGCAGAGCGCCGTCTGCATCGCCTGATGCCACGGGGTAACAGGTTATTTATCGGTGCAAGCAAGTTCCTATGTCTGAGCCCTGGAGGTCCTACGAGAACCGTGCTAGCCTAGAACGGCGTGAACAGCGTCACGAGCATCTTCCGCAGAGTGTAAACAACAAGCTTTTGGACAGGTCAAGAGCAGAAGTCGTCAAACATCTAGAAAGTCATTCAACTTGGAAAATACTTGACGCCGGAGTTTCACAGGCTGCTGGGGTGGTTTTGTACCATGAACTGTTAGAAACCACCGCATACACTCTTCAGCTT